AAAGGGAGAGGGAGAGAGAGATGGAAACATTGATGAGAGAGAACATCAATTGGCCACCTCCTGCATGCCCCCTATTGGGGATCAGGCCCACAATCTGGGCATGTGCCCTGACTGGGAATCGAACAGGCAACCTCTTGGTGCATGGGTCGACGCTCAGCCACTGAGCCGCACTGGCTGAGCGAACGTTATGCACTTTTAAGAAATTTTTTTTCTTTATTGATTTTAGAGAGAGAGGAAGGAAGAGGGAGAGAGAAATGGAAACACTGATGAGAGAGAACATTGATTGGCCGCCTCCTGCATGCCCCCCACTGGAGATCTGGCCCACAACCTGGGAATGTGCCCTGACTGGGAATCGAATCGATGACCTCTTGGTGCATGGGTCAACACTCAAGCACTGAGCCACACCAGCCAGGCCGCTTATGCACTTTTGATGAGCATGTAAAATGGTACAGCCGCTGTGGAAAACAGTATGGCTGGTCCTCAAAAAATTTAAAAATAGATCTATATATGATCCAGCAATTCCACTTCTAGGAATATACCCCAAAGAACAGAAAGTAGGGTCTTGAAGAGATATTTGTATATCCATGTTCATAGGGATCTTACAGTAGCTAAAACATGGAAGTGACTCAGTTGTCCATCAACAGATAAATGGACAAGCAAAATATGGTATATGCATACAATGAAATGTTATTCAGCCTCAGAAAGAAAAGTTCTTAAGAAGGAAATTCTGACACATGCTATAACATGGACGAACCTTGAGGACATGAAATAAGCTAGTCATAGAAACACGAAGACTGTATGATTTTACCTCTGTGAGGTACCTAGAGTAGCCAAAATCATAGAAACAGAAAGAAGAGTTGTTTTCAGGGCTGAGGGGACAAAAGAATGGGAGTTATTGTTGACTGGATATAGACTTCCAATTTCATGTGAAAAAAATAATGTGTATGTGTAGGTGTAAAATGCTTTGTCCAAATGCCTCAAGCTTAGGAGATAGGCCAACTTTTCTTATTTACCGCAGCCACTTTTTAGGAAAACGTGCTTCCGTGGAACCTGGTGTGGACTGCCCAGTTTCCAGTCTTCAGAAGGGGTTTCGGCAGTGCTTTCATGGGAAAGCAGCTGGGTGTGCAAAGAGGAAAGTGCACAAGGGGATTCTGAAAGAGGCACTGGGCTTCAGTGGGTCGTATGGTAAAACAAGAACCGTCAGGGTGTATCTTCCTAAAAGTAGGAGCACAAATCAAAGCCTATGTTTACTTTTCCTCTTAAGTCTATTAGATGTCAAATGGGTTCTCTCCCAGCATTTCTAGACTGGCATCCTGCCCCATTCCTCGCCTTTGCCCATCTCAACCCCACCTCCCCACTGCCCTTCTCTGCCTGCACAGAGGTCTCCTTCTATGGCCAGTCGGATAACGGCCCCCAAAGATGTCCATGTCCCCACTCCTGGAACCTGTGGTTATGTTGTTACATGGGAAAGAGAAATGAAGGTTGTAGGTGGAATTAAGGTTGCTAATCAGCTGACCTAAAGATAGGGAGATTGTTCTGATTACCTGGCTGGGCCCGATGTAGTTACCGGGTCCTTATACGTGAAAGGAGGGGGCAGAGAAGAATCAAAAGGAAATGTGACTAGAGATGAGGTTAGAGTGATGTGACCTGAGAAAGACTCAACTCACGTTTGCTGGCTTTGAAGATGCGGGAAAAGGCCAAGAGCCAAGGAATGCTGGCAGCCCCTAGAAGACAGAAAAGGAAAAGAAAACGGATTTTTCCTTAAAGCCTTCAAAAGGAATGCAGCCCTGCCAACACCTAGAATTTAGCCCAGTGAGACCTATTTCACAGTCCTGTCCTCCAAAACACTAGAATAATTCCTTTCTATCGTTTAAGCTATTAAATTTATAGTTGTGTAGTATAGCAGCAATAGACAAGTCATATACTTTCTAGCTCAGTCTCCTCAGGACATCCACGGCTTCGCCAGGAACATGAACAGGCATTAGGTCACAGACTTTCTTAGATACGAGAATGAAAATAATGGTTTATTAACTCAGTTGGAAGAGCTGTCAGCCAATAGCAGAGAAACCCTGGTGATAGAAACAAGGTAAGCGCTTATTTCGCTTCCCATAGATGGTAACCCGTTCTTTGCTGGTCTGGTGGTTCTACAGTGTCAATAAGAACCCAGATCCTCCCTGCTCACCCTGGAGTGCAGTCTGGGGGCTCAAGATGCACTCTGTGGTCAACATGAGTACTCTCCAGGCCAGTAGCATGAGGAAGGGGAGGCAAAGGGCATACCCGCTCCCTTCAAGGACACTTCTGCTTATATCTCATTGGCCAAAACTTAGTCATTTAACCAGACCAAGCTGCAAAGGAGGGTGGGAAATGTATCTTTCAGCTAAATATGCCCAGCTAAAATTCAGGGTTCTTGAGGTTTCTGTTAAAAAGAAGGGGGAAAAAAATTACTAGTGAAGAAGAGAAGGAGTATTTGGAAGCAAGCTGTGGTCTCTGTGATCTGATTCACATTCAAAGGCAGAGGAATAGCTGGCCAGAATCCCAGAGCTCCCTCAGGCCCAGTGAGGATCTGGTAATTCTGTGATAGTGTGTATTCTAGTGTGCTAAATTTTAGTTTGTAAGAAACATTCGCTTCACCGAACCCCGTCCAGGGGCTTGTAGATCATGGCGGCTTCCAGATTTGGAGGAATGGAAGAGTTAGGCTACTCAATGAATAAGTCAGCATTCCATCCAGGCCCTGTGAGGTTTTGCAAGGTGGTTAGATGTATGTTAGATTTGGGGGCATATCATTAATTTCCTGTAGGACTGAAGTGATTGGGTCCCTAACCATGCTGATGAAATCATTGTTCTTAAAGCCTCCTTTTATTTATTTATTTTGTTTGTTTTCACATGTTCCTTGATCTCCAAGCTTGTGAAAAGCAGCATTAGACATCTTTGTGGCATTAAAATCTCTGACATCTTCCCACTTTATTGTCTTCAAACCCGTTGAGAATAATTGAGACAGCAGTTAATTTATCTTCCAATTTCTACTGTAAATAATGTCAAGGTGGCTTATTTTGCAGTCTTCTTTATAAAATAGCGCTCTCTATCAAGGGACTTCTTTGTTTACAGAGTTATACTTCTTTTTTTTTGGTCATGAAGAACTAGATATCAAGAAATAAAAACCAAATGAGTAATTTATAGTCTTTTGCTTTTTTGGTCATTTAAAATTGTTTCTTGATTTTAGTTTTAAAAAATCCATGTATTGAACTTATCATAGGTTATTCTTTCTTCCTGGGGTTTTCTATTTGCCCTCTTTCCTTTTTTAGACGGTAACCTGATCCTCCTTTATCCGTAGATAAAAATACTCCCCACAGCTAGCAGAAGTCACGGTTTTTAATATAGTGTCTTCAGAACAGAGTCAACTCGTGTTGACCGAAGCAGTGTTGTGATGCTTCGCGTTTCTTGAGTCGTGCACGCGAGCCAACGGCCCGCGACCTCCAGGGCACGTCTGCACACGGTCCTGAGAGAGCATGTGTTGCCTTGGCCTGATCGAAAGGTGGGGGAAATGGGCACTGACAATAAAGTAGGATGCATTCCGGGGTGAACAACAAGAATAACAGGAGACGGTGGGTCAAGAAAGAAGGAGCAAAGGAATGAAATTAGGACGCGGGAAGGGGTGGGGCAAGGATGGGGAGGAGGGGTGTGGCCAAGCCAGTGGCTAAGAAACCATCTCACAATCTACATAGAGCTCCTCTGAACATTCATGCTCCATCGTCACATTTTTAATGGTAATAAGTCTGTTGTACTTAATTTAGAATGCCACTCATGAACTCATTGATATAATTAACCATTTAGACATGGCAACCCTCCCCCTGGACATTATAGATGTGCTTCTGAAGAGCTGTGAGTACAGTGAATAGTTGAGAATAAAGCCATATTTCGGCAGAGTGAGGAGAAATGACGATTTAAGCCATGCTGGAGAAGTGTCACTGCAAAGCCACATAGCCCATTGCAGTGGCTCTGCAGTTTATTTTATTATTTTATTTTTTTAATGTATTTATTTTTTCTTTATTGATTCTAGAGAAAGAGATAGAAACATTGATGAGAGAGAACATCGATTGGCCGCCTCCTGCATGCCACCCCTGGGGATCGTGCCCACAACCTGGGCATGTGCCCTGACTGGAAATCGAACCGGTGACTTCTTGGTGCGTGGGTTGATGCTTAACCACTGAGCCACACCTACCGGGCTGGCTCTGCTGTTTAATAGGCCGGGGTGGTTAGAGTTATCCAGAAGATTGATGTGTGCGCCCATCAAGAAAACATGGTGAGCTCTGGCCGGTTTGGCTCAGTGGTTAGAGCATCGGCCTGCGGTCCAGAGAGACCCGGGTTCGGTTCCCACTAAGGGTGCGTACCTCGGTTGCGGTTTGTTTCTGGCCTAATTGGTCATGCGGGTGGCGGCCACTCGATGTGTCCCTTTCACTCTTTCTCTCTCTTCCTCCCACTCTATCTGAACAAAAAAATTGGAAAAAATGTCCTCGGGTGACATGGTGAACTCGGTGTCTTTAGTCCTGGAGGATTGTGTAGTGCTCCATTCCTCTCTCTGCTTGCCTTTCCCGCCTCCTCCCAGGGCACTTAACATCGTATCCGACAACAGTAGTACCCAATAAATAGCATCAGTAATAATGTATGTGGTCACCATTATTATTTTGAATTAATTTCATGAGCTAGGATAATTTTATTAACTTGCTTTGTTAATGTGGCAGTACATCTCATTATAACTGACTTGGTAACATCCTTCATTTTCTTCCCATAAATAAGGATGGAAGGGCAGAAGGGAAGGGGAGCAAACCCCACATTCTGGTCTGCCGGACAGTCCGAGGCAGTGCTGGACCGAAGAGGCAGAGGGCTGGATGAGCCAGGCCTGACTACAGTCACTCTTTTGAGATCCCTCAGTTACGATGAACCTGCACTTTTGGCAGCTCCTGAATTCTCTGATGCATTCTTCCTCCTCTTTTCTTTCCCAGTGTGTCTGAAGAACCCACCCAGCACGCCAATGGCCAGCAACAACACTGCCAGCATAGCGCAAGCCAGGAAGCTGGTGGAACAGCTGAAGATGGAAGCCAACATCGATAGGATAAAGGTAAGGGCAGCAAGCCCACCCAGCTCATCTAGCCTTGGTTCTAAGGGACATGAGGTGCAGCGCCCCAACATTCACTGCTCTTTCCGTAGAGACGGATGAAACCCATGACGATGGGAGAGGCACTTCATGATTAGGCAGAAGTTCGTTTTTCTGATGTCTTTGCTTTCTCTAGATTTCTTCAGCATAATGTAGTATAAATTAAAATCAGTTATCTAAGGAGGATTAAAAACAAAACAATATCAACAGAACAAAATAGAAATAAAACATAGGCTCCTGACTGAATTCTAACCGAGGAAATTGGAGAAGACGTAAAACATAGCAGGCCGCTAATCGACCTCCCTTACCTGGTAGGACCTCTTCTTATTTGGGTTTTAATTTCTTTCTGTCCTGATTTAAGCTCTAAAGTTAAGTCATCCATCTTTCACGTCCACTCATTTTCATTCAACGTTGTAGGTTATTATTTTTTCTTTATACCTTATTGTATTTTTAATCCAAAACACAAAAATCACACACACATGTTCTCGCTAAGAAGTCAAACAGCACAGAGGTTTAAAATGGAAGTTAAGAGTCTACTTTTTTCCTTCTTTCTTTTACTCCACAGATTTAACCTGACAGCTTTGCCTTAAGTTCGGGCTAACTCATATGGAACCAAGACTTTAAATCCAAACTCTTTGTTGTCAGATTTTAAATGTAAAGTCGACCCACACAGTGTCATTATTGACAGATAAGTGCAGGGTTGGTAAAGGGAATTTTCGTCAACTACCAAAACTTCACTTACCCAGAAGACCCAAGTACTTTATGCAGTGGAACTTAGGAACACATCTCATTTTACTAAAATAAAACTAGAACGTTCTTCCAAATGCCTCTTTTATAAACTACAATATTTTTTCTATTTTCCCTATACTTGACTTAGCAACCTGGACGACCTAACTTCCTTTGAAGTGTGCTTCTATATTAAGGATCAATAAAGTATGGCTCATGAGCCAGATTCAGCCTACTGCCTGTTTTTATAAATAAAGTTTTATAAGAACACAGCTGGACCCATTCATGTACATCTTGTCTATGGCTACTCTCACACTACAACAGCAGAGCAGAGTAGTTCTGACAGGGACCATGTGAACCACAAAGCATAAGATATTTACTCTCTGGCCTTTTACAGACAACTCTGCTGCCCCCTGGTCTAGAGCAATGGTTCTCAGCCCCTTTGTTAGTTCCCACCACCCCGAGAATTCTATAAACAGGCCAATTCCAATACCATATCCCAGACCAATTCAATTAGAATCTTTTGGAGTATGATTCAGGCATGAGTACATTTTTTTAGTTACAGTTATTGTCAATGCATAGCTGAGGTTGAGGACCAGGGGCCTAGGAGAAGGGGTTAGCTCCTTCGAACTCCTAGCAGATGTGCGCCAGGGAGCGAAGGGAGAACTGGTCTTCCCCCATAAATAAGCTTTTTCATCTATCCTACATCTGCTTTGTAATATTTGAGTCCTGCTGAAGGGCCACAAAATGTAACCAGCTTCCACTCTTCTTATAACAGCTTTTATTCTTCTTCTTCATCCACACATGAGGCAAATAAAGGGCCTTTCACCTTCTGCCTCGCTTCTCTACCACCTTCTTCTCCTTCTTCCCGTTGCCTGGTCTCGTATCTCCCTTGCTGCAAGAGTGCAGTGTGGCAGGAGGGCACAGTGATGGCCGAGAGAAGTGAGGTGGCCCAAGGATGGTGGCTTCAGAAAGAGTTTTGCAGCTTTTCTTTCTGTTTGTTTGTTCTTTTGTGGGTGGGGGGAAGTTCTGTTCATAGACCTTCTGAAAAAGCCCACTGTGCCCTTTGGGGTGGCCCAGCTAAGATAAAAGTGTCTGTGAAGAACTACTGTGGTTGGCATTTTCTGTTATGACTCAACATCCCCAGGCCTGGCTCCTGAGAGAGGCTGTGAGGGTGTTGTTGGTGATGAAAAGCTGACAGGGGAGGAAGAAGAGAGATGCAGGCCTTTTCAGCCATAGGTCAGACCTGTGTTGTTCCTCACCCGAACTATTAACTGCAAGGGGCTCTTAGCTGGTCTCTGAAACCCCATCTCAATTACCCTCCATGTTGCTGCCAAAGAAACATTTCTATAAGAAATCTCATTATATTCCTCTCCCACTGAAAATCTTTTTGTGATTGTCATATAAAAATAAAATTAAATTTTTAAAAGTATTTTTCAATTACAGTTGCCATATTATATTAATTTCAGGTGTTCAATATAGTGATTAAACATATACATACCTTACAAAGTGATCACCCCTATAAACCTAGTACCCATCTAGCACCATACATAGTTATTACCATCTTATCAACTCTAGTCCCCATGCTGTACTTTACATTCCATTGACTATTTTTGTAACTTTCAATTTGTGCTTCTTAATCCATTTCACCCTTTTCAATGTCTTATATTTTCCAAGTACAAATATTTTATCTCCTTGGTTAAATTTATTCCTAGCTATTTTAGTCTTTTTGATGCAATTATAAATGGGATGGTTTTCTTAATTTTTCTTTCTGATTGTTTATTTTTAAATATGTGAAATGCAGTTAATTTCTGAATATTAATTTTACATCTTGCTATTTCACTGAATTCATTTATTAGTTATAATAAGTTGGGAGTGGATTCTGTAGGATTCTCTCTATATAGTATCATGTCATCTGCAAATAATGACAGTTTTACTTTTTCCTTTCCAATTCAGATGCTTTTTCTTTCTGTTTTTTGTTTGATTGCTGTGGCCAGGACTTCTATTACTAGGTTAAATAAAAGTGGTGAAAGTGGACATTCTTGTCTTGTTCCTGATCTTAGAGAAAAAGCTTTCAGCTTTTCATTGTTGAGTATGTCAGCCGTGGGCTTGTTGTGTACAGGCTTTGTCATGTGGGGGTATGTTCCCCCACCCCCACTTTGCTGCGAGATTTTATCATAAATAGATGTTGGGTTATGTCAGATGTTTTTTCTGCATCTATTGATATGATCACATAATTTTTACCCTGCATTTTGTTGATGTGATGTAGCACATTATACATTTCTAATTCCTTAGAATCTGAAAGAGGGACCCTGCCCATCTTCCAGCTTCATCCCCTTTCTTTTGCCCACATGTGATAACGAACCACTTAATTCTCTTGATGGGTATTTCAAATGCCCGGAACATTCAGTCTCCTTTCTACCATTCTGTTTTACTAACTCCAATGAATTTATACTTCCTTGAAGATTCAGCCCAACGCCCAATCATTATATCCTTTAAGAAACTTCCCCAAACTCTCCTCCTAAAGTTGGATTTTTGCTGTTTCTTCAGTTGTTCATTTATTTATCTATCTAATGAATACTTTACTAAGAGCTTTCTAAGTTGCCAGGCCTTGTTAGGTACTAGAGATATAGATATGGATAAAGATGAAGACATGCTTCTTGCCCTCAAGGATCTCCTTGTCAAGGGAAGTATGAACAAGACCTACCAATGACCCCAATAAGATATCCAAGGAGCATAATTACCAACTATCACGAGAAAGAAGCCAAACAGCACACCCTGATTCCCTTTGTATGCTACTTCTAAAGAGACCAAATGCGTCACTATTGAAAGAGAGACAAAACATCAGCCTAATCAACTGAGCGCTGAGGAGTTGCCTTCCTAGGTGATCTTCTCATTCCAATCTCCGGAGCCCTCGTGACGTCATTAGACCTTGAATTGTTGACAATACAGCAGCAGCCTGTATGTCAGCATTTGTTCTGACATCAGAGCCCGGCCGGCATGCTGTGGTGAAGGGTGAGATTATTTTTAGTGTAGCTGTTGGATAAAACCGGCTGCGTTGGCAGCTAGCTGGTGCAGGGCTTGGTTATCTGCCTTTGGAAGTCCCTTTAGGCTTCTGGGCATCCAGGCTTCGCTGCCTACTCTCCAGCACGACACTGTCAGCAGGAAGGGGTTTCTCTCGGAGGAGCCCATATGATTTTCTAGTCGGAGTAGTGACCTGTTCAAGTCATCATTTCTGGCAACAGTGGCTTCATGTACATCCACCAGAGCCTACTGTGGCTGAGGCCACAAGGAACAGCGGGCAAAGGGGCACAGATGGCCCTGGAGCTGCCAGGGTCCCCTTGTCTCTCATGTGGCCTCCAGAATAACTGGGCTGCACAGAGTAGCCCTGCCACAAAAGGATCTGAATAGCGTATTCATTTTTAAACCTTGTTTCCTATCCCTTTGCATCACAGATCTTGGGAGAGTTGGGCTAAGCAACCCATTATCTATTCATAAGCCTCAGGCATATATAATTCTACTCCCAGACTTTCTGTGTTTCTTTGTTAGCATTTCATTCAGGGACAGAAAGTAAAATCAAAAGAAGCTGGGCAAGGCTGGGGGGAGGGGCAGGGAGGGTGTTGCGGAGACCGTGACACTCAGATATGTGAAGAGCAGTATACTCACACCAAGGCGAATGAAAGAAACCTTGTCCCGGGAGCCTGCATGAAAGTAAAGGACAGCAGGACTTCAGTAAATCTATTTATTCATCACTATATTCGGAGTCTTTGGGTTTCTAATAATAGGAACCTAACCCAAGCTAGTTTATGCAGAAAGAGGGGATTGCTAGTAAAAGATAGAGAGTCTCCGAATCCAAGAGCAGAAATGTAGCTGTGTCATCAGTGGATGGAGAAAGAGGAGGCCACCGGGAACAGCGGGCGCTCTGCAGCACGTCCCTGCTTTTCTCTGTGTGTCTGCCTCTTTCTTTTCCGGGGAAGAATAGATTTCTCAGCTACCTATCCCATGTGGCAGACACAGGATGACTTCCCATGGCTCCCAGGATCCCATGTCACAGTCCCAGCTCCATGAAGAAAGAGATGGGCTGATTCAATCCCTTTTAGTCTTAATAGGTATCTAAGAAGAAGAGAGAATCATTGTAAGCTGGGAAAACGTTCTGTGACAGAGTCCGTGAAAGGTACTGTAGATGGAAAAGCCAAAGAAAGGCAAGGCCAGTAGAGTGGGTGAACTGATTGCTTCTG